ACATTTATACATATATATATACATATATACATATATATACATTTATACATATATATATATACATATATACATATATATACATTTATACACATATATATACATTTATACACATATATATACATTTATACACATATATATACATATATACATTTATACACATATATACATATATATACACATATATACATATATACATATACATATATACATATTTATACACATATATATACATATATACATATACATATATATATATATTTATACATATATATATATACATAAATATATACATTTATACACATATATACATATATATATACATTTATACACATATATATATACATAAATATATACATTTATACACATATATATATACATAAATATATACATTTATACACATATATACATATATATTTATACATATATTTATATACATATATATTTATACATATATATATACATACATATATACATTTATATACATATATATATATTTATACATATATATATAAATACATACATATATACATTTATATACATAAATACATATAAATATATTTATACATATATATATATATACATATATATACATTTATATACATATATATATTTATACATATATATATATATATATTTATACATATATATATTTATACATATATATATATATATTTATACATATATATATTTATACATATATATATATATATTTATACATATATATATTTATACATATATATATATATATTTATACATATATATATTTATTTATACATATATATTTATACATATATATTTATACATATATATATATTTATACATATATACATTTATACATATATATATATATATTTATACATATATACATATATGTATATATGTATACAAACATATACAAACATATATATATATATATATATATATATATATGTGTATGTATGTATAAATATGTACATATATATATATATGTTTGTTTGCATTTATGCAGGTTTTCTTTCTTTCATGTTAATCAGAACGGATCAAAGACAAAAAGCGGTCCGGTCTTCTGAAACTGATCAGAGCCTTTGTGATCAAAACAGTACTGATGAACACGTGATGATTTTCTCAAAGCTCATACATTTTATGCTTTCTTATTTTCTTTTTCCGGAGGCTTCTCACCATCAAACTTTTGTTGTGAGTAGGTCTCACCTAAAAAAAAAATTTGTTCATCTACCTTTTGTTGTCTCGCTTATTTCCTTTCAGGAAGATACATTTCGTTCTGGCCTCAACAAAACGCAATTAGCGTCACTGAAAGTAATAATTTAAGAACTCCTGGAGTACCACTGTGATCCAGAAATCTTCAGCAAATAAACTGTAGACTGTTGTGTGAATAATTTTACTGATTTTAAAGCACTCATTTATAAAAGTTATGAGTTATAAAAGTTGAAATTGTTTTTCAGTGCATCTGTTGAGATTGTTGTCCTTTTTAAAGTGTGAGTTTCAACAACAACAACAAAAAAGCGTGATACGAAGCATCCAAACGCCTCATCAACCACCTTTTTCAGCACGACTCTCAAGTAAAACGCCGTATGTGCACGTATTCATTGTTCCTCTGAAACTTTCTCCAGGAGACGCTTAGCGCTGCAGAAAGAACAGCATGTTCAGTGTGCACCGTTTCACTCCCAGTACGATTACATAACAACATGAACCAGATCAGCAGTGCAGCCTGCATGAATTAGTAATTTGGTTCAAAGTTACAGTAATCGGCTTCACAAGTCAGCTGTGACATTTACTCTAAGTTTACGGTAGTTAGCGTGCAGTATAAACAGCGGCGCATCTGGAGATAGCTTATATGGTTTCCTATGAAATATCTGACAATTAGGGGGTGAGAGTTAATTTTTTATTTATTTTCTGTTGTACGTGCTAAGCAGTTAAAAAACAGTATTTTCCGCCGTATACGTTGCGCCACCCTATAAGTCATATAAATCCAAATATGTCTAATAAGGTGGAAAAATCCATAAATATGTCACTTTGTTGCATATGTCGCATCTATTACACGTCACCGCTGACAACCCAGAAATGTGGACCAGTGTTGTGCCAAAAATCGATTGGCTGCCAAATGGTGGCCGCGGGAGCGTGCACGGGAGGACTTTAACAAGAATTTAACAAGATTAACATTTAAAAACAATTATTTGTTTGCTTGAAATTATAGTAAAGGTGTGTCTCAGTCCAACTTTTGCTTACCCGGTAATAAATGCACTTTGACGGTCAAATCAGCTGCATTTCAAAAGTATTTGCTGCCTCGGTGCTCCAGGAGCGCGAGGACAGGGTGGAAATCAGAAAGGAGGAATGCTGTGCATTTCTTCAAAATTTAACACAATAACCACCTAAAACAATTATTTGTTAACTTGACTTTATAGTAAAGGTGTGTCTCAGTTGAACTTTTACTTAATAAATGCACTTTAATGGTCAAATCAGCTTCATTTCGCTGGGGCGGCGCAGTGAAATGAAGCTGATTTGACGGTTGCTCCAGGCGAGCTGGACGAAGGTGGCAAGCCGATTGTGTCACTGATAGCCACTTTACCTATTACATGATAAAATGGCATGCCATAGGGCTCAATATTTTCATTCAGAATGAATGAAAACGGTCATATCGCAGCCAAAAATTGGTTTTAAATATGGGAAAAATCCATAAATATGTCGATTTGGCGTATAATATTAATATCTCACAAAAAGATTTGAAGCTCTCGATCTTGACCTCTCTAAGCGGCTTTAAGAATCTGTTGAACTCCTGGCAGAGACCAATGCAGATATGTTCTTGTTTTTTTTAGTTTTCTACATTCACCTTAGAATCTAGCTGTTTTTTTGTTACTTTTTTTTTAGCCATCCTATTTGTAAAAAAAAAAATAATCTCTGTGTGCCTTTTTATAACTGTCTGTTGTTGCCGCTGTCGTCCATTGTTTTTCATCATTCTTTGTTGGAATCAGGTCTCTCTTGTAAATGAGTCCTCGAGGCTCATTGGGATCTATCTGTCTAAATAAAGGTTGAATGAATGAATGAATAAGTCGCAGGGCATGCAAATTATGCAAAAAACTGCGACTTATAGGGCGAAAAACATGGTAAGTTTGTTAAATAAGCACTACGGCTGAAATTGAATCCCGTCTAAAAAGAAAACTTGGGGTATTAGTAGTAAGGAAATCTCGTAGACATTAGGTGTAAACTCAACCAAATCTGACGCCTCTCGGCATGCTTATGCAGAGAAGTTCACAAATTCAACACCAAACCTTTACTCTGTGCTATTTGCAAGCTAACATATTACGATAAATGCGTTTGTGTTCGTCCCTGTCGGCTGAGGAGTTTATTAGGAGTTTCTTGTTCTCAAAAAGTAAAAACAAAAAGGATATCATTTGTTTTTAACTTGCACAAACACCATAATTGTTTATAGAACCACACCATCCTAATCCCATGAAAGATAAAAAAAAAAAACAGATAAGCCAGCCTATAAATATGCTAATGTCTTCAAAGATGTTGAAAAACAGAGAGAAGCAAAAACCCCAAAGGACTGTTGGTGGCTATGAATACATTTAACAGACATTAGCTTCTCTTGGATGTACTCTGTTGTTACGCAGCAGAACTGGTGGAAACCCTCGATATAAATACACACTCGTGTATAACTCATAGAAAATAGTTTATTATTCATCCAATTATTTCTACCGAGTCACCTTACTTTCCACTTCTTTATATTCATTCCTCATCATTTCAACACCGACATCCAGAGAAGTGTTTCTGTTTTAAGCATAACTCTGTGTGTGTATGTGTGTTTGTTTCCGTTCCATTTGGGGACTTGAACAAGCACGTACACCAGTCATTTGGGGACACTTTGGCAATTGGGGACAAAAACCACAGTCCCCAATTAGAAAAGTTTATTTAAAAGGTATTCAGCATGCTCCAAAATGCATTTTAATCCAAAAGTCTCAAACATGTGTGTGACAGAGCAGAGGCGTTGGCAAAGGTGGTGTGTGAGTGAAACTTTGTGTGTTGCGTTCTGTGGACTGCGCTGCGCAGGAAGGGGCAGGCAGAGGGTGAGATATGGAGTTCAAAGTGGAGTCATGGTGGGTCACAGGGCCCGGGCGGCTGATTCCTGGATGGAACGTGGAGGTGACGAGCGAGGAGAGCTGGGGGTTTGCTAGAACGACAGGGTGAGAGGATCTGTGTGTGTTTTGTGTCTCTCGTCTCATCTGTCCTGCCTCTGCCACCTGTTGTTCTTCCCCAGATGTTTGCGCTTATCCCCTCGTTGGCGTGTCTATATCTTCTTCATTTCGTTATTGTTCCCCTGTCCGTGGATCATCTCCGTGTCTGCTGGGCTAAAGAACGCAAGTTTTGCTGCCAAGTCAGCGTTTGCTTATTTAATAAAATTATTTTAATAAATGTAATAAATAGTTAAATTATACTTGGAGCTGTGGAAGTTTGGTAGTGGTTCTCCGCCAGTTTATTTTAACTAACTTCTCTCCTGTTTTGTGGGCAGCCAGGGAGCTCAGGAACTGTACTTTTTGTTTTGTCAGATAAGAGGTGATTTTGTTTTCTAGCCTGAAGGGGCGTTCTTTTGTTTGTTGTTTTGGCCTTTGAGACCCCGAAGGTTGTTGCTTCCCTTCTGTCTGTAACGCCCAGAACTATTAGAAGAATAAATCATTGTAATGCCAGATTGGGCTGTTTTTGAGTCATTAGTTTTGCGCTTAATTTACAATTTGTGTTGCCCCTTGTGCCTCCTAGACTCAGTACCAGGGTTGTAACAAATAAAAGCCTGTCTGAAGACTTTTATTCATCTATAGTTGTGCATTTTAAAGGAAACTGAATTAGAGCTGATTTCCAAGCTTCCAGTGCAGAGACCTAATCACCACTTTTCATGGATAATGAGCCGATTCAGGTCGGATCTGAACCTTTAATAGAAGCTTGGACCCAAAGAAACTGTTTATCTTTAATCTGTCCTATCTTTTTTATAGAGTGCTTGTGTTGTTGTTTACCTCCTTTGTTCCAGTCCTTGCAGGACTCTCCGGCAGTCATTCCCAGAAGAGCATTAGCAACTTGCAGGACGATTCTGTCAACAAAGTCCCGGGGGAGGGCGGCGCAGTTTCGAACCGTTTCGACTCTGTCTCTAGGCTGGAACCCGGCTCCCCATGTGCTCCCTGAGATGTCGTAGCGCTCCGTATCCCCATCGAGAAGCTCCCCGTCAACTTTGAAGGCTGACCCTTGGCCTGTGATCACGGGGCAGGTCCGTCGGCTCTGGATGTAACGAGCTCTTCGCCGCTCGACCTCTGCCTCGTCAGAGAACTCGTAGCTCCTCGACGTTCCCACCAGACACACCTGCAGGAGGAGCTGAACGTTAGCGCTGCTCCGGTGGGTGCTGCAGACTGAAACTGTACAAAGAACAGTAATCTAAACTAATTGTAGACACATTCTCTGACTTTTGAATCAAATTGTATCCATCCTTTTTGATAAACCTGAACCTTCTCTTAGATGGGCCATTTAAACGGCTGATTAAGTGATCTCCCATTTGGATGTCATTATCGGATGTCATTAAATTTTAATTTTTAGTTTGTGCCTTTTCTTGGTCTACATTTCTGTCAGCGCTGCAGAAACGATTTGAGGTTAAGACCCCGTTTGAACAATTTCTGGCAGTATTAAGAGTTTCTGCTGTTGATCGTGAAAAAGTTATACTTGCGCTGTAATGCTGTGCTCGAGTTTGCTCTAGTTTCCATGAGAGGTCACTAGATGTCGCTATTATTTCTGTATTTTGATAACGGCATATGCGCAGACACTACTAGGGATGCACGATATTATCGTCGTGGTATAGGTATCGGCCGATATTAGTGTTAAATTTAAATATCGGACATTGGCCATTCCATCAAAATAACTCACAGGTATAAAAGACGCTGTTTTTGCATGACAACCCTGTGACAAGGATGCCTGCAGCGCCAGCACAACGTGATGACGTCACGCGCGCCTCCCTGATCTGATCAAGGTGGAGGAAAATTCAAAATGTCGGCGGTGTGGAAGTTTTTTTTTGTTAAGGGTGTTGGATTCTGAAGATTTTTGTACTAGGTTGAGCCTCGCTACATCGTCCCGTCAGAAACATTTTTCCGATGTAGCCTTACCCGAGTTACAAGCCGTCATTTCCGATGTCATTGAGAAGCTAATAGCTGATAGCAGTTGGGTGAGATTTACCAGACATTTGGACGTCGTGTTAGCCTCGTTAGCATGATTAGTCTTACGACACAATGGATGGACAAAAACTTTGACCTTAAAAAGTCTGTCCTTTATGCACAAGAGTGCAGAGGATCCCACACTGCAGCTAGGAACCTAGAACAAGCCTCCACAAGTGAGACAGCATCGCAGGTGACTAATGCTAATAAATAATATTTAACACTTTTCATTTAATAGAAGTTAAAATGCTATGCATATCGTATGGCTGTTACTGAATATATGTCACCAGCTCTTACAGATGTTACACAATTTTTATAGCAAATAAGCCTAAATAAGAGGACTATGTTCTGACAAAGGAAAGTATATTAATATTGGTATCGGCCAAATAGGTTTTAACATATCGGATATCGGCCAAAAATCTAATATCGTGCATCCCATGACACTTCAGTGTTGAACATGAACACATCCAAAACGGCAAATTCACAAATATTTGTTTGGACCTAGGAGGAGGTTGAGTTGCTCTTACAATGTTAAAAAGGGTGAGCAGCACAAACAGCACTCTCTGATCCACTGTTGTTACTGTTGTTCCTCTACTCGCACGGATAAACCACTGTCTGCAGTTGTTTGTGCTGCTTGTGTGTGAATTCACACGGATGCCGGGCGTTTCCAAAAACCTCGACTCGGAGGAAGGATTCAAAACGCTTCAGTGTCAGAGAAAACGGCCGCTGTACACGGACAGCCGAAACACAGCTGAAATGCAAGTTTCACAGAAAAACTGTGTTGAGTAAAGAAGTCCTCATCTAATGATGACCCCTCTTGCTTTATTTAATAATCAGGTATATTCATAGGATTCTGCAGACAGTTTAGACATCTCTTCTACAATTACTGCATGCGTGAAAACTATTTAAGAAAAGTTCTGGAAAACATTGGTTTATCAGAACTGGTCTGGTAACTCGCCACTTGAAAACTATCAATACAAACAGCGCACAACACCACCCCCGTCGACAAAAATCACTGAAGATATGAGCGCACTGTCAAGGCAAGTACACTAGGAGAAACAACGTGTACCATTTGTTGGGACTCTTGTTTGACTTGTCCATAGCAGGGGTGTCCGATCCTGGTCCTCGAGGACCACTGTCCTGCATGTTTTACTGGTTTCTCGGCTCCAACACACCTGATTCAATTGAGTTGGGTGTTGGAGCAGAGAAAAAGGTAAAACATGCAGGACTGTGTCCCTCGAGGACCAGGATGGGACACATTTACCCATGTCCCAGGTGTAGCACTCACCTCATGTTCATTTAAATAATTACTTGGTAGTAAAAATCTAAATAAAACAAAGTTAAAAACATTATTTTCTACATCATTTAGTTGCCATCTGTATAAACCTTGTGACGACTCCAACATATTTACTTTATTAAATCTTCAATGACCTACACGTTTGGTGGACGGTATTCTCAGGCAGTCCTCTTCGGTGTTGAAGCCACAGACTTGGCTGACCTCCGAGATGAAATCAATGTACTCTTTGTACTGAGATTTCTTACACTGACGTCTCTGGTACTTTGAGTAGAAGTCGAAGAAACAGCAGGGGAGGACGAAATAACGGCAAGAGTAAGATGACCTGCGGTTAGGGGGGAAAAAACAGCAAAGTTCTTGAGCCGTTCAGGAAATAAACAACAAGCTGAAGATGATCAGAGCAGCTCGGTCAGGCTCAACAGCGCCATCAGGTGACCGCCTCCGCCCAGCTCAGCTTGTAAACAGATACACATCATCTTCTGCCTGTAATTTCCTTCCAAAAACAGAGAGATCAGCTGGTGCTCAAGCTGCCGGCTGTGATTGTCAATGACTCGCCTGGCTGCTACCACGGGGATCCACGGTGTGAGCTCATCCGAGTGGTTCCCAATCAGCCAGTCTGTACCCGGGAACGTGAAGGTCTCACTGGGAATTATTGCCTTTTCCTAAAATAGCACAGACCCACATAATAAAAAAATATATAAAAAAGCTTATCAGAGCAACGAAGATACATATTAGTGTGATTTAATTTTGAGTAACTTTGTGGAAACAGAAGAATCCTCTCTTGAACTTTTGTTTTATCACAGAACAAAGACCAGAGCGACATTTATCTACATTAAATGTTCCACAGATCGTGTGAACGTCGACTCAGCAGCTTCACATCGTTTTCGTCATCAAACTCATGAGTCTGCAACCTTCGTAATGAAACAAGTCATTTCTGCCCCTGAGCTCACTAAAAAAAATGTGCCCAGAGCCACAAAACCTGCTACAACAGTGATTTTCAACTGGTGGCTCATGGGCCACTTCAAGTTCGTCGGAGGGGTGTTTTTACAGCTGAAAAGAAATAATGAATTTTAATGTTTAATCAAACAGTATTTTAGCATTTTGGGACGAAAGATAAAGTTCATATAAAGAAGGAAATAAAAATTATAGTTTATAGCAATTTTGACAAGAATTAAAATACTGAACTCTGCAGGCCTATACTTTATTTTTGGAAATTGAATTAAAGTATCCCACACTGAAGTACATTTGTATAAAGTGTGTAAAGAGATACAATTTCCTGTTCGTTTTGGTGAAAACTTCAAAGAGCCGTAGCCGTGGGACCAAATAGACCCGCGGGGAACCAGTCGTGTATCAGAATGTTCGGCTTGTTTGGGAACAGCGCGCTACGACTTCTAGCTTTTTGAAATATTTCACTTTATTGACACAATTTTCCCAACATAAATACATGAAGATCTCATCAGTTTATCTAAAATATTTTTCTCTGAAACCTACGTTAGCATACCTGCTCCATTTGTAGTCTTTGCATGCTTTATTTAGCTACTCTTTAGCTAATTTTTGCTTTTAACGACTGTCTTGGTGATTTCAAGAGGAAGTCACATCACTGTCGGAAAATGTAAGTTAGGAAGGTTGTGAGAAATTCTTCCTGATGAACTCGTCGCACCGAGTCCGACAGACCTGAGGATCCGGTTTTATCAAGTCTGCCTCATTCGCTCCTGAACATCCCTTAACAATCGATGACTTCAGAACCAGACAGCCGCTTGTGACAAAGTCTGAGAGGAAAATGGGAAAAATCTGTCTTCCTCTCAGGAAGATTAAAAGTCTTAAAATAGTACAGTTAAAAAAATGCACAATAAGATAAAGTTGTTTTATATTTCAGCTCAAAAACTTAAACAACAATTTTACTTTTAACTCTATTATTCAATGATTAATCCTGTATGCTTAAATGTAAAAAAAAAACATATTGTTGTAAATTAATATACATAGTGTGTATGTTTATAAAGCATTCACATTATAAAGCATTCTCTAGTTAGTTTATGTCATGATCTGCAATAAAAATAAAGTATCATAATCGCTACATCGATATGCAAATTATCAATACAGCAAAGAACTGCACTAATTAAAGTAAAATAAAGGTTGATTGATAATTATTAGAAATACTTTTATTAAAAGAAAATGTTGAACTGTAAACATTTTTGAGACGGCTGTTCGAACCATCTGCAGAAAAATATTTACTGATAAAAAATATTGATTGTATGTTAACCTTTTGAACTTTGTTCATTTTTCAAAAAACTTACTTTATAAATAAAAACATAATATTTTAATTAGAAAGTAAAATTATTATTCAAAGCAAATCAAAAACAATTAAAAAATGTATTTAAAAAAGTCCAGTATAGAGATAAGAGATATATTGGAGTTGCTTATTTTTCCTGGTTTATAATGAAATAAACCCCAGGTTTAAAATTAAAATGTCGAAACTGTCCTTGAAGTGCAGCACACTCACCTCTAACGTGGTCTGAGGGCCGTACGTGTCCCAGATCCTCCTCCTGCGGACGTCAATGCCCCGTCCAGGATGCTGTGAAACGAGGCGACATCAGATTTAATATATTCAGCACCTAGAGTCCTGTCGCCCGGGTTCAGACTAATCCCAGGTTATTGATTGGTCTTTCAAAGAGGATTTGTTCAAATCAAAAGAACGAGAGATGGGTCAATTTATCAGCCGGTGACCCAAATCGGTCAATTTCAAGATTGAGCGGTTCAACAGGTGACCGGCCGATCAAACATCTGAAACAATCTGAGCTGTTCCTGGTTTGTGAACCCACCATCGCTGAGCAGAAATCAAAGCACCCAACAAAGTTGTCAGGTCATCTGGACAGTTTTTTTTGTGTGTTGTTGAAATGTTTTGTCCTTCATCCAAAGGACTTCATCAGTCCGAGAAGTCACAACAAACTCAGTCCACAATAAGTAGCATACTTGCAAAGTGGACCAACCAGTTTGATGGTGATAAGATGGTTTCTTTCTCGGACTGATGAAGTCCTTTGGATGAAGGACAAAACATTTCAACAAAAATTTAAAAAATATATAAAAATAAGAAACTGCCCAGAGGATCTGACAATTTTGTTGGATTTTTTGACCTGGATGAACTTTGAAGAAATCAAAGCACTTTCTTCCACAAAAAGCAGCTATTCGCAGCTAGTGGTAGCGCATTTTCAAGTATGAGTTTTATGAGTAAAAAAGACAAATTTATCATATCTAAAATCTTTATATCTGTAAAAATAAAGTTAGTACAAGTGAAACTTTGGCGGTGATCTACTCCAAATGTAAAGCACCGTGACGGATACCCCTGCTAATCACAGCTAACAATGTTAGCTTCAGGCTAACTTGTTTAAACTTTGCTCAGCGGTAGACCTGAGTCATTTACTGTTTTCAAGGTATACTGATCGAAGAATTATGTGTATCATACATGATTTGTCTTTCTCCTTATTGACAGTGTGTTTTTCTACCAAAACTGTATACAGGTGCTAGTAAGTAAAACACCATTTGAGGATGAGATCAGAGGAAAAACTGCTGGGACCAACTTCATATTAGAAAAAAGCATCCCTTTGGTTTTGTCGGCATTTAGGACAAGTTTGAGGTGGAACAAATCAGTCTGGATGTTGTTGAATGCAGATTTCAAAAGCTGGAAAGCCTTATCAACTGTTTTAGCTCGACAATAAAGAACTGTGTCGTCAGCATAGAAATGTATGGATGCATTTGGGATGTTTTTACCTACATTATGTATGTAGATTGTAAAGAGGGTGGGTCCTAAGACTGAGCCTTGTGGTACACCATTGTTGACTGTTAAATAACTGGAGGAAGTACCATTATGTTGAACACATTGCCTCCGGTCTGAGAGATAGTTAGAGAACCAACAAATGGTGTGTTCTGAGAAACCGATTTCTGAGAGTTTATGACACAAGATGTTATGATCCACAGTGTCAAAAGCTTCAGACAGGTCTAAGAAAAGTGCAGCACAATAATCCTTAGCATCCAGTGCTTCAACAATGTCATTTTATCGATTTTATCGATTCGTTGTTGCAGCCCTACGGTGCTCCTTGGGATGTTTAAAGCTTGGGAAATCTTTTTGTATCCAAATCCAGCTTTAAACTTCTCCACAACAGTATCTCGGACCTGCCTGGTGTGTTCCTTGGTCTTCATGATGCTCTCTGCGCTTTGAACAGAACCCTGAGACTATCACAGAGCAGGTGCATTTATACGGAGACTTGATTACACACAGGTGGATTCTATTTATCATCATCAGTCATTTGGGACAACATTGGATCATTCATAGATCCTCACTGAACTTCTGGAGTGTTTGCTGCACTGAAAGTAAAGGGGGCCGAATAATATTGCACGCTCCACTTTTCAATTTTTTATTTGTTAAAAAAGTTTGACACATCCAATAAATTTCATTCCACTTCATGATTGTGTCCCACTTCTTGTTGATTCTTCACAAAAAATTAAAATTTTATATCTTTATGTTTGAAGCCTGAAATGTGGCAAAAGGTTGAAAAGTTCAAGGGGGCCGAATACTTTCGCAAGGCACTGTATCGTATGTTCATGGTGGACATAACATAGGACTTGTGAAAATCTGATGATGTTATAAGTCATATTTATGTAGAAATATAGAAAATTTAAAGGGTTCACAAACTTTCAAGCACCACAGTAGAAGCAGCACTTGTGAGGTTCAGTGTTGTAGGACGTGAAGGTTTCAGTCAGCTCTGGCCTGAGTACAGTCTGTGCTATGTAGCATTAGCATAACCACATTCTTCTTGTTGCTGCTTTTCCATACATAAAGGGAAAATGTTGTGGCTTGTTATTTTTATTTAACCATATTTTGCAAAACATCATAGAAACACGAGGCAGATACACCAAAGTGTAAAGGAGGGGTAAGAGTGATTTACAGATTCAAGAGTTCAAATCCCACTACAAGGGGCTCAGGGGGCATTTTGGGTTTGAGAAGACATCTAAACAAATGTCCATAAACATCTCGGCTACAATCAAACTACAGTTGGTCTAAAAGGTTTGTAGGCTTCAAACTTGTTGGAGACACCAAATAGACATCTGTGTCAAGCTGATAATGAGAAAAATATATTTGCCAATTATCAGAACTAAACTTCTAATAATCTCTGGCCTTGTTGCACTCCTTTAAAGGCTCAGAAATTTACCAGTATCTCAAAAGAACTGGTTCGTGGTATATACAGAGATTACAGTGAGGGGGTATTGGCATGGAATCCCATTTTGAATTTCATTAATTAGATAACACTGTATTAATCTCTATAGACAATGATACTGTCTAAGTGTGAAGGATTATAAAAAAAATCCACAAAGAAAAGCACAAAAAGAAGAAAGCATAATTACAGGCATTCATGTGGAGCCGGCGCTGCACACAGAAAATAACCTATTCCACGGGTCATTTCGCCACTAATGAGCTTATTTATGACTAATCCAAATGGGTGTTTTTATTCAGCTGAAAGGTTGAAGCTCTCGGTCGTTTGTAAAAGCCAAACAACAAATCATTGTCCACAAACCAACGCTGGCTGCGCTCATCTTTCATAAACTGTCTTTGTTCTGAACGATCTCCATCTGGGGCTCGTTTACGAAGTATTCACCAACTTGGTAATCTTTCTATTTTGTGCATTAAAAACAGGAAGATAATTGGATTTTTTAATTTCATCATAAATACGCTAAAAAGAGAATACTTCAGACTCCATCTTCTACCAATTATCCATGGTCAGATCGTGGAGTCAACAGTTCCAAGGAGGAAACCCAGACATCCCCATCTCTGGCTCCTCCTTCAAGGATCCCAAGGAGTTCCCAGGCAAGAGGACACACAAGGGAAGGGGCGGCTGTGGCTGAGTGGTTAGAGCAGCCGTCCTCCAGTGCAAGAGTTGAAAGTCTGATTCCACCAGCAGTCACATGCCGAAGTGTCCCTGGGCAAGACATTGAACCCCTCATTGCCTCCGATGTGTGTCCCATAGGTGTATGAATGTAATAAAGCACTGATTATTCTTTGTATAGATCTAGTAGAGTGCTGTGTGGATGGGTAAATGAGGGCACAGATTGTAGAGTAAAGCACTTTGAGTGTCTTGATCAGATGGAAAAGCACCATATAAGCAGAGACCATTTACAATCTCTCCAGTGAGGTCTGGGTCTGCCCTGGGGCCTCTTTCCAGTGGGACATGTCCCAAAAACCTCCAAAGGGAAGCGTCCAAGAGACATCTTAATCAGATGCAGGAACCAACTTAACTGACTCCTGCTGATGCGAAGGAGCAGGAAGTCTACTCTGAGCCCCCGTTCCACAGAATCATCACTTTTACGTGTTGGACGGGAATCCTGGGAGTTATGCTGTCTGGGGTATCAGCCCCTCGTAGAATCCCTTATAGGAACTAGGCCTTAGAGGAGGAGTATGACCGAGAGAGACTCAAAAACCTTAACGGATAAACCAACAAAGTCCATGCTCAATAATCCAGGTATACAAGCCAACATTTTTCAGTCAGGTCATCTGGACATATTCTTTTTTTTTGTGCTGAAACGTTTCACCTTCCATCCAGAAGGCTTCATCAGTCAAGGAAACACACAACACAAAACTGATTCTTCCCCCAACAGCTCAAAATCCTTCAGCACAAAAAAAAAGGAAACTGTCCAGATGACCTGACTGAAAATTGTTGGATTGTATACCTGGATTATTGAGCATGGACTTTATTGGTTTTGAACCAGTTTGGCATGACTGTCGACGAGGTATAGGGCCGGCACTGGAGGAGGAGGCATGCCAAAGAGACTATCTTAGCACCAACATAACTGGTTTGTTTCACTTTGGAGTAAGCTGTTGGGGGAAGAATCAGTTTTGTGTTGTGTGTTTCCTTGACTGATTAAGCCTTCTGGATGGAAGGTGAAACGTTTCAGCACAAAAAAAGGAAACTGTCCAGATGGCCTGACTGAAAATTGTTGGCTTAACAGATAAACATCAACTGCAGCAGAAAACTTTGCCTGCAAAAAGAAATCTGGGCACCTCCCTGGAGCCAGGCCTGGAGGGGGAGTTTGCTGAATTCAGGTGCTATACAAGCCAGGCAGACCAGGGAGGGTTCATGGCCATGCAGATTCCTAACAACCTAAACTAGCTCCTGGGATGCACTTACCGGTAATACTGCTGGAGTTTAATGAGGGCAATAGGCACAGGTTTGGGGTCACTGTCCTGCTGGAAGCTGGATCTCTGGAAATCTTAGGTTTCCATCAAGATTTCCTGTCTTTGCTGAATCTATCTTTGCTTCTAACTAAGACCACAGTCCCTGTTGGTGTTCTCAGTCTGAGGACAGGTGCTGGATTTTAGACATGGGGTTGCCACCAATCACCAAAAAGTTGAGTTTTGGGTTCATCCAACTACAACATCTTCTTCAAAATGCTTAGGCAGTCTCCAATATGCTCTTTGGCAAACTACACACGATCCGACTAATAGATTTTACTTTTTCCCCACTGCTCCCAGTTCTGCTCATAATAGTGGGCCTACAGATCCAGGTGCAGAAAAGCTGTCGGCTTCATCTGAGTTATTCTTGGCCAGCTTGACATTTCTCTAATTTGTGCCCTCCCAAGCTGATCTGTCAGTTTTGGTGGACAATCCTCTCTTGGCAGGTTTGCTGTGATGGTATCCTCTTTCTGTTTCTGAGCTCTGTGGGCTGTTCAGGGTTTGACATGTTTTCTATTACCCAACCCTGATCTGTGCTTCACCACCTTCTTCTTTGGTGGTAGACCTTTTAGAGGAGGTAAGGCAACAAAATAAGACTACAGTAGTCCCTCGTTTATAATAATAATAATAATAATAATAATGTCATCACAATGTCAGCACTGTATGTTTCCATACAATGGCGAAATTAGTCTCTGCATTTAACCCATCCACCACCAGGTGGTGCAGTGGGCAGCTATTGAAAGCGCCCGGGGGACATTTTTGGGGATTAGACGTGCTGCCCAGAGACGCCACGTGATGTGCAGTGACTGGGGATCGAACCTGGGACTCTCGGGTCCCAAGCCGGCTGCCCTGCCTCTACACCATCTCGGCCCCTGGGGTTTAGGGGACCATGCCCTTTGTGTTAAGTGAAAAACCATGAAGTAGAGTTACAGTAGTCCAAGTTCAAGTTTCACTCCCAAATTATAGCAAAGGTGTGTCTCAGTTTAACTTTTCCTTAATAAATGCACTTTGATGGTCAAATCAACTGCATTTCAAAACCCGATACGCGGAAACATGAACGCGCAGAGGGAGGACTCACTGCGCATTTCTTCGAAATTTAACAAGATAAACACCTAAAATCAATTATTTGTTTGCTAAACTTTACAGCAAAGGTGCATCTCAGTTGACCTTTTACTTAATAAATGCACTTCAATGGTCAAATCAGCTGCATTTCGCTGGAGCGGTGCAGCGAAATGCAGCTGATTTGACGGTTGCTCCAGGCATCATCCCAGAGCTGGACGAAGGTGGCTCTATGGTAAGCCAATTGTGTCATTAATAGCCACTTTTACTTATTACATGACACAATGGCATGCCATACAACTCGAGTGCTATCTAACGGCTGAAAATGGTAGTGTTCAATATACTGAATGACAGAATGAATGAAAACGGTCATATCTCAGCCAAAAAATAGTTTATAAATATGGGAAAAAAAACAAATAAGTCGCTTCTGTGTATAAGGCACAGGTCATGTAAATTATGCAAAAAACTGTGACTTATAGGCTGAAAAATATGGTACTTTGAATTTTAAGTTGGAAGGCAAAAGTCAATCGATGCAGCAGGAGAGCAAAGGGTTAACCCTTCAGGAAGCAGCTTCAGCCAGAGGAGAAATGTGGGCGTGGCAGAGAGGAGATCATGACAGGCTGCAGGAGGGAGCTTAACCCTGCACCTGCGGGCTGCATGCAGGTGGTAAATCATTTTAAATAATTTATTTTAAATAAACAATCCATGCCACTTGTGCGCCTCATCCATGAATCAACCAGTTGTGTGTCATGTCCACTCTTACTTTGAAAAACTGCGAAAGAGCGAGTCCATGAAAGTCAAACCGAGAAGTATTCAGGGACTTCTGTATTTCCAAAGGGAGTGAATATTTTCCTACCCCACCGTTGGAGGTTCTGCAGTAAGACGAGTAACCTGCTGCTTAGTCCACCTGCTGTTCCCCTTCTGATACAACTCAACTCAGCTTCACGTTTTTATGATTTGTGGATTTACCAGACGCCCTCGAGTCCCAACGTACCCCTTCGTTTGTCAGAATGTGAACCAGGAGGCCGTTCCCGCAGCCGAGGTCCACAAAGGACTGTGGATCTGCCAGGTTTCTCTCCGCTCTCTCCTCAGCCCACAGAACCTGCAGCCACAGAGACGAGTTCAGCGCCACAGTAGGGTCAGACGGCGTTCAGTAAATAATAAATGCAGTAAAAGGCAGTTTACAGCTGCTGCTGACACCCTTGCACCTGAATCTAATGTGACGTATAAACTGATTCTCCTGGGTTTAACTGACGCAGCTTTAGCTGTATAATCTAGACATGAACAGTATTCTACAATTTTTTTTAACGATCCTAAAGCAAATTTAAAGCAAATACAGCCTTGTTTTAAAGTATAAACTGACAGTTTGGGTTTTAAATCAGCACCAACAAGCAGCTTTGAACCCACCAGGAGATATGTGGCGATAGCGACGTCCTCAAACACAAACTTCTCTGGATCTGTGACCTCGGGCCAAACCTAGAAATAAAACATCAGAATGTTCAGTGGATGGATGATGGGATCAACCCCAGAGCTTCCGCTCCCTTCACCTTGACCATGGCCTTGTACTTGTCCTTCAGCTGCTGGTACACGAGGCTGTACTTCTCCACCGGCAGCAGGGACAGCGTGCTCCTGAACTCGCTGCTCTTGCACTCGGAGGCCCAGCGCACCAGTCGGGGCAGCAGGTCTGAGGAGAGCCAGGACAGCTTGGGATAGGCGACGCCGTCGGAGAACCAGGCGTCTAACGTCATCACGTGCAGCTCCAAAGTCCTGCAGGTAAAACAGGAGGAGACGGTAGATTAGTTTGTTCTTCGTCCGAGGCGACGCAGAGAGACGGATCCTGGGGAGGTGCAGTGGTGGAGCCAGGGGGTGGCCTGTGGTGGCCTTTAAGATTTATCTTCAGCCCCACCGAGGGGCCACCCCGATCATTTGAGTGAGCTATACTTGAGCAAAACAAAAACTAGAAAGCAACGTTTTTCAAATGGTGGTTTGTATTTACATACACAGGTGCATCTAAAAGAATTAGAATAGAGTGAAAAAGTTATATTTTTTGTGAATCATTTCAGAAAGTGAAACTCATACATTCCATATATTCATTTCACACAGAGTGAAATATTTCAAGCCTTTACTTCTTGTGATTTTGACGATTACAGATAAAGAAGAAACAAAATTCAGTGTCTCAGAAAATGAGAACATTACAGCCAGCTTTTAGTTCCTTTGTCAGTGTGGGCAGGAGACGAGTCCTGCTGGGAAATGAAACCAGCATCTCCATAAAGATGTCAGCAGAAGGAAGCGTGACGTCTCTAAAATGTCCTGCTAGATGCAGCGTTGACTGTGGACTTTGAAAACATAGTGGACCAACACCATCAGATGACATGGACCCAAACCATCACTGACTGTGAAAACTTCACTCTGGACTTCAAGTTCTTCCTCCAGACCTTGATTTCTAAATGAAATGAAAAATGTACTTTCATCTGAAAAGAGGACATTGGACCACCAAGCAACAGTCCAGCTCTTTGTCTCCTCGGCAGGTAAGACGCTTCTGATATTTCTCTGGTTCAGGAGTGGCTGGACGTGAGGAATGAGACATTTGAAGCTCATAGGAGTCAATCAGCTGATTAGGATGTGACACCAGGAGTTCATAAGGCTGAACCTCTTCACAATATTCTAATCTTCTGCTTCTGGATGCAGCTTCACTCTGTGAGATTTTCAGACGGCATTCACAAATCGTTCTGTAGAAAAAAAACATCTCTAGTTGTGAGTAGAGCTGGGCGATATGGACCAAAATTAATATCTTGATATTTTATGATAAATCGCGATATACGATATACGTCTCGATATTTTTTCTTTCCATGAAGTAACAGCAAAAATATATTTCTGAGTCAAAGCTTTGTCCCAGTTGTCACACAGGCACATTTATTAACAAGCAGCTGTAACTCTACAAAATAAATGTATAAAAATTAACTGTTTACATATATTAGGGTTTTTTTTAGACATTTATTAACATATATTAAGTAATAATCCTCTTCAGCTGGGGGCACCTGTGGCTGAGTGTTTAGAGCAGTCGTCCTCCAATGGGAGAGTTGGGGGTTCGATTCCATCAGCAGTCACATGTTGAAGTGTCCCTGAGCAAGACACTGAACCCTTCATTGCCACCAATGTGTCTCATCAATGTATGAATGTGATAAAGCTCTGAATAATCTTTGTAGAGCTCTAGTAGGGGGCATTAGCGGGTATAAGAGGACACAGATTGTGTTGTAAAGAGCTTTGAGTGTCTTGATTAGATAGAAAGGAGCTACTGTATATAAGTACAGTCCAATCAGCTGCACCGCCTTCACGTTCGTAAGCCTGTGTGAACTGCAGTAAAGTGAGCCTCCACTCAGAACCGTGAAGCTGCAGCTCCGAGTGTTTTTTCAGTCTGCTTCCTTGAAACAAACCACGGGTCAGAGCTCATTTAGCTTTAAGAAAGGAGCAGAGAGAGGTGGCGACATTAATAAATCAGCTGCTTATATGACTAAAGACACGGTCCCAGTCTCAGTTGTGGAACAAGACGCCTAAAGCGTTAGCTGTCTTGTTAGCCGCTAAGGGCTGCGTCTTAGCGATATAAGTTGCTGATTTATTAATGTCGCCACCTCTCTCTGCTCCTCTCTTAAAGCACAGCTAAATGAGCTCTGACCCGTGGTTTGTTTCAAGGAAGCAGGCTGAAAAAACACTCGGAGCTGCAGCTTCACGGTTCATACTCCACTCCGCTGTTTCAATGCTGAAAAAGATTCGTAGTCCCGAACTTTCGTCTGGACTATTTTCAGTATTATATGCAGAAAGATTTTTTTCTTCCCCTCATCTGACAATCTACATCCAAACTATCTCCGAAAGAACGGTCACTGTTTTGTTTTTCTTCAGCAGCCGCTGCTCTTCATAGCTACCGTGTTTACTTGTGCAAAACGTCTCCGCCCACCTCCTGCAGGAGCAGAGAGTGGCTGAGGGACTGGGTTTGTGTTCAATGAGGGAGAAAGAGACAGCAGGAGGATTTTCAAGTATAAAACTATAGTTTTCTATCGAGATAGCCTCAACTTATATTATCTTCTGTGTGGGGTGCCCCAGGGTTCCGTTTTGGGCCCTCTGCTCTTTTCCTTGTTCATGTTGCCACTTGGATCTATTATAAGACAGCACAATGTCAACTTTCATTTTTATGCAGACGATTTGCTAATCTATTTACCATTAAGGCCAGGATCCAGTAACCCAGTGCTTTCTCTCTTTGATTGCATCTCTGCAATCAAACTTTGGCTGAACAAAAACTTCCTGTTTTTGAATGACAATAAAACAGAATGGATTTGGTGACAAAGATGCAACTGACCTGGGAAACTTGAACATCAACTTCAGTGACTGGAGAGAGTTAATGGTTGTTTGTCTCTATGTGTCCCTGTGATGGACTTGCGAACTGTCCAGGGTGTACCCCGCCCCTCGCACAGTGATTGCTGGACATGGGTACCGGCGACCCCCGTGACCCAAAATGGAAGAAGCGGGTAAAGAAAATGGATGGATGGAACTTCAGTGACTGTGTGAAAAACCTTGGAGTGATCTTTGATACGGCTTTACACTTTGACAAACATATCACCTCTGTTGTCCGGTCTGGATTTTTTATTTATTTACGCCTTTTAAAAAAAGGTCAAACCCTTTTTAAACCGTTGCGACTTGGAGAAGGCTCTTCATGCTTTTATCAGTTCTAGGCTCGATTATTGTAGCGCTCTGTATGTCGGTGAACCTCAGTCTTCACTGCGCCGCCTCCAGCTTGTTCAAAATGCAGCAGCTCGCCTTTTAACCAACCAACGCTCCTAGACGGGACATCACACCTGTTGTACTCTCACTACGTTGGCTTCCTGTCCGTTTTAGAATAGATTTTAAACTTTTATTATTTGTTTTTAACGCTCTGAACGGCCTCGCTCCTCCTTACATAAGAGAGTTAAGTTTCCCCGCCCGCTCCAGGTCTCTGACGTCAGACAGCTCCGGCTCTCTGTTCCAAGGACAAAATATAAACCCTGGGGTGACCGTGCCTTTTCTGCAGCCGCACCTCGACCCTGGAATAAATATGTGTTGACATTTCTGGTTCTCTTTTTGTTATTTATTGCGGGGGGGTTTTCTTTCTTGCATTTAACTTGTTATTTTAATTACTGTTTTTGTTAAGCACTTAGGTCACCATCACCGTGGTTGTGTGAAGCGCTATAGGAATAAATAGATGAAATGAAAATATTTCTCCAGTTGTAGTTTCTCTCCATTGGCTCCTGGTCAAATTGGGAGTATTAACTTTCCTGCACTTTAGCCACAGAATATGAACAAAGAATATAGATTTACTTCAATATTCTCAATGGAACCTGACAACACCAGGGACAGAAATTTGAAGTATTTAGTTTCCACGTGTTTCACTTTTTTTTTTTTTTAACTCGCACAAAGACTTGGCAATTGTCTTTACACCGGGTGTCCTTCCTGACACACCCTCAGACCACCGAGCTACCACAGCCCTCTGTGTGGAGCGGAGAGCTGCCAGGGAGCACCCAGGGGAGCAGATGGTGGGGGTTACGGGCAAACCGTTCACTCATCTTACCTTATTTAAGTTACTGTGAAGAAAACTGGGGCAATAATTACAAAACTACACTAGTGGCATTAACAATACTACAAAAAAGAGCAATAAGAATAATCCATAAGGAGAGATGTTTAGAAAGCACTGACACGCTCTTTGTAAAATCGAAATGATTAAAGTTTACTGACGTAGTGAAACGACAGACGGCTCGAATTCTTTACAAAGCCAAAAAATAAACAATTACCGGAAAACATTCAAAACCTGTTTAAGACTACGGAGCAAATGTATAAGTTAAGTGGGGAATCACAGTTTAAAATATGCAAATTTAGAACAAGTAGAAAAAAAACTTGTGTATCAGTGAGTGGAGTCAAACTGTGGAATAATTTGAAAATTAAACTAATGTCCAAATTATCATATGAACATGGTTATTGCTGGATATAATATTATTATTCAGTTATTGTTGGTGCTTTTGCTATTGGTGCTAGTTTTGTTTGTTTTTTGGTGAAGTGTAAGAAATAATAATTGTTTATCTGCTGTAGTTAATTTATATACTATATCGATGGGTTAAATATGGGTTTAGTTGTTATACATTTGGATTATAAATGTAATAAATGTAAGATTATGTAAGTGGTTAAGGAGTGGGAATAAGTTGATAAGTTTATACTTCTACCTTTGAATATGTAAAACAAAAAGTTTTGACATTATGCTTCATGCTGTATTTTTTTTTTTCTTCTTTTTTTACATATTCAAAAAATAATTAACTAAATAATTAAATGAATGTGACGTTGTGGTAGTTTTAAATGTGTTGTTTCCAGTACAGAATTGTGATACTTTTTATTCAATCTGAAAAACTCCCGAAGGATTTTCTCCAAACACAATGTGACCCTCAGACAGAGACCGGTCCATCCCAAGGACAGAACCCCCAAACCCAAACTGAGCAGTGTGTCTGCAGGTCAACCAGCTTTAAACAGAGGAGGTCAGCTTTAGGCCTGATTCCAGGTCAGCTCCTCTTCAATTCACACATTCGTGCAGGTGACCCAAACATCTCTGAGGGCCCGGCAGACAAAGATCCTAACGAGCGAGTAGTTCCAGTCTAACCTGCACGCAGATCTAAGTACACCACCAGGCCCCTCGTGCAGTTCTATAAAGCTTACACCTCCAGACATTTTGAAATGAGGAAGCCTCCCGGATGAGAAGCGACGTGTCTTCAGCTTCAGAATAGAAGTCCGGTTGTTTTTGTTTCTCCAACTTTTTATTTTATTTTATATATATATATATATAATTTTGTTCATTCAGCTGAGACTCACCATTCCTCACAGCCCTGACTGCAGAGCCTGAGCTGATGCACGTTGCCTCTCCTGAAGGACACTTTGCCCTCTGCATCCTCCTCAAAGGTAAGAAAAGTCACTTGTTGTCTGTCAAAGTCTGAAGAAGATTTAAACATGGCGTCAAACGTATAAAACTCAGCAGGTGAGGACTTTAAAGTCCAGTTTTACCTTTCAGAATCACTTCTTTCTGCTGCTTCGCTCCATAACAGTTCACTTTGGGGATGAAAGTTCTCACGCTGGACGTCCACGGTTTGTCCCGTTGGTGCGTGCGCTCAGGTGAGCCGCTGCGGAGGAACAACATCACGTGATCAAACAGCTGCTCATCTTCATCACCGTCCAGGAGGATGAGCAGGTCCTCTCTGCCCACATCCTTGCTCTCTGTCTCTTTAACCCCGCAAAGACGCTTATTAACAACGTGAGGCTTCTTGATCCACACGTCCACCGCTGACCAGAACCCGTCAGGGAGGCTCTTACATCCGCCTGCAAACTTGCTTTCGAAGAGTTTGGGCATAGCGACAAGCCGTGTTTACGGCAATTAATGCGCGTTTTACGGCTATTTCTGAGTATAAGTGCTTCAAAATAGTATTTGGTAAAAAAAAATCTAATCAAAATGAGTTTTATTACTCGTTATTCGCTCTTTCATTTAAAAAAAAAAAAAGCTACATTTACGCTTCTAAAGAAAAACGCGACTGAAAATTGTCGCTTGATGATGACGTATGATGTGCGTCTTAAATGTAATTTATCAGCAGAGGGCGCTGTTTACCACAATGTGGCAGGCATCGTGTCAGTAATAAGATTTTAAAGGATCATATTATTTAACTTGTTTGTTTGATTTTCACGTGAGCAGAAACTTCATTTGAGTTTTAAAATTCATATATATATTTTTTTTACATTTTGTTTTGCCCATATGTCACCAGCTCATTAACCTTTTTATTCTAGACTTTTGATTGATGTTCAACAGTTTATATTCCCTCCGGTTGGAAAAACAAATACAATATATATAATTTTCTTAACTTATTAGACACCACAACCACAGATTCAACATGAAATGATTGGGACAAAAATTTGCAAAGAAGTAACACCACAAACAATGAGCTAAAATATTTGTTTTGCTCAATGTACGGTTCCTTTTAAACAATTAAATTAAATGAGTCTTTAGGGTGCTAATTAGTAGTTAATACTCATTGTCTATTGTCAAATACAAATTTTCTAATATAGATTAACAAAGATTAGTATTTCTTGCCTATAACCAAATCCAAAATAGGCAATGATTCTGCAGCTGACGGTAAAACTTTGAGAAAGCAAATGGAGTAAAGCCAAAAAAAAAACAAAAAAAAGGATAGAACCTGACACACGTTCATCATCACGTTCATACCTGCATTTTGACATTCTTCTTCACCTAAAGTTTTTCTCACACTTGAAACTGCACGTTTCACACGCTGTAAGCTAATACTGGAGTACAACAAGTCAGATAACTCGGGTCCCTCCTAATTGGCCTCAAACTTTTTTTTTTTTTACATCTAATTCTGATCCTTTCACCTGGCTGTTATGTGTGTTTATTGTGAAAAGTACTGTTAATCAGAGCCACAGAATGCTTCCTCAGCACTTCATGCTGCCTCTGCGGTTGTTTTAGTTCTGAAAAGAAGTGACATTTATCCTCGGGGGGACACTCCTTAATGAACTGCAGCTCTCTTGGAGTCCTTTGTGTCCTTCTGAATATAATTTTTAAGCAAGAAAGCAAAGCAGGGAGGAGTAGGATGGAAATATAGTGTACCAGGAAGTACAAGTTTAAGACAGGTCCGCCACTGTTCTGCCTGGTTTGCATTGCTGGGCTGTAAAAAATATCCCGCCAAACTTGTTGGACAGCAAGCAGCAGGTAGAGATAAACTCCAAACCATTTGCACTCCCTTTGACTCGGTGCTCGTGACAAGTTTTGCATGAGTTCCTCTGGGGGTGATTGTATCTTGTACTAGTGTATTTTAAATCTGTCACATTTGATCACATTAATATAAAATGTATTGTTGCAGTTAAAGCCAGGCTAAGTGATTAATACACTATAATGAATTATAAAAAATCTGTTTGTTTGTATTGTTACCTTTTTGTCAGTATTGACGTTTTTTTGTAAGTTACATTTTGTAACGCTGAAATTTAGCTGTAACATTTTCTAGCCCAAGTTCACTAAGAATGCCTGAACTGTTTTAGCTAGCTGGTTTTAGCTGATGCACATAACCCTTTGAAACTCCATAAACTCACCAGGATGGGCTAGAATTAGCCAACTCTTCAGATAACCCATATTAAACCCGTGTCAGTGTGCTGTAACAGCTTTAAATTTAGATGAAATTGTGCTTTAGCCATTTTTCAGCCCTAACGCTAACAGTAAGCTTTTTTTTATAAACACAAAATTATTTGATAACAAACAATTTGACAGATTTCTGCTCAGTGTTTACATGTGATGAATTGTGTAAAATATTAGATATTTACCCTAACCTATTAACCTTTTTTCATATTTATTTATAACCTTTATTTGTTTATTTTTTCTAAGGATTATTGTGCTACACTTCACTTAGACCTGTCTAAAGCTTTTGACACTGTCAGCCATGACGTCTTCTGTCATAAGCTCTCAGAAATTGGTTTCTCAGATCACACTATTGATTGAAGGCAATGTGTTCAACATAATGGTACTTCTTCCAGTTATCTGTTAACAATGGTGTACCACAAGGCTCAGTCTTAGGACCCACCATATTCGCAATCTACATAAAAAATGTAGGTCAGTTCATTCTTGATGCATCCCTATGCCGACGACACAGTTGTTCATTAATTTAAAAAGAAGCTTAAATTACCAGAAGGAAGTGGAGAGAGCATATTTTAGCTGAATTAGGCTGGAAAAGTTGAAATGAGTGGAAAAAAAATGTGGATGGAATTGACTTAAAAAGCTTAAATTAGCATAAAACAGCTAAATAGTAGCTGAAATAGCAGAAAAAGCTGAAGCTAGCAGAAAGAAGCATAAGAAGCTGAACTTAGCTGAAAGAATTTGAAGGAAGCCCAAAAGAGCTGAACAAAACAGTTGAAATTTGCTGAATGTAGCTTAAAAAAAAGCACAAAGAAGCTGAAGTAGAACAACATGTGAAAGGAGCAGTAAAAGGCTGTAAACAGACCTAAATATTTGAAGGAGGTAAAATGAGCTCAATTCATTGTCTTTGAGAAAACAAGTGGCAGAAAAGGCTAAATATTCCAAAAAGCTAAAGTTGCACCAATACCAAATATAGCAGGATTGAAAGAGCTGAACGTTTTTATGATTTGTTGAAATAGTACAAAAATTGTGGAACGAGAAAGATGTCAAATAACTTATATAAGAAGTAACTGGAATAATAATAAACAGGATCACAATAGTGTGAATGCTTAATAACGTGTTGTTCGCATTACGGCCCGTGATACATTTCCCCCCATGTCCCCTCCGGGGCTCCGTACAGTGTGTTCAGGTGTTTTTCGGTCCTCAGGTGTTTTCATGACAGTCTGGAGGTTCTTCTTGTTCGAAGCTCAGGTGAGAAAAGAAAAGTCCGGAAGAGGTGGGGTCAGGTAAGGAATCTGGAAAGAGGTGGAGGAAACAACTAAAAACACTCGCAGGAACACTCTGTCCGAAACTTTAAACATTAAACTCTTCCACTTTCGTCGTCCGGACCGAACCGAGCCCGGATTGGATCTCACGGTGACCCGTTTCCTGGACTTTGTAGGAATTTGATCCGGGATTTGGGAGTTCTCCGCCGACGTGTCTGGAGGTTTCGATGCCCGACATGAAGCACCTGTTTCGAGGTGGTTGAGGGAAACTCCGGAGCGGACAGAGCCATTTTGATTCAAGGTAAAGATCAAGTTGTCTGATGGATAAATGGAATGAACCAAAACTTTTTTTTTTTAAAGTCATCTTTATTTTTCTCTCATTACCTAAACTACTATATTAGAAATGAACTCCTTCTCCAAAAAAAAAAAAAAAAAAAAGCCACATCTTATGTCATATATTCCAATTTCTGGCTCCTTTTTCTACATTTTCATAATCAGGTGCTTTGATTTCACTTGAACTGCTCATATTTGCTGTGACTCCAATAATCTAATCTATAATCCACATGTACTTTACCTTTTAATCATCTCTATATTGATATGAGTATGAAATAATAAAACATATGGGTTAAATGATGTGCTCATTGAAGGGTCGTGTTGTGTTTAATGTCATATAAAGGTTGTATTTTGATTTGCTCAAACAAAAGATGGATGGACTTTGAGAGTCGAGACCGTGCAGCGAACTGAGAAGCACGCCAGAATAAAGCGTGCATGGCTTGGACCAGTCTTCTGCATCCATGAGATGACTGGGCTCTTCGTCACCGTCAGCCCGGGGAGGATTTTCTTTTCTTTTTTCAGTAGCTGAACAGGTTAAACATTCATCACTCTGCACACAAAACGACTCGGATCGCAGGCCTCTTTGTTTACCTGCGTCATATTTTTCCAAGTCAAACTCTTGAGAGGATCCGTTCACCTCATCGTCACTCGGCTTCAGTGCTGGAGTTGCCCCTAAATAAGCTGCACGCCCGGGCTTGTGGAGCCTCTGATAAGCTGGTGTTTATAGTTTAGGAGTGTGAGGCTGAGATTTAATCAGTCGAAACGATATTTAGCAGTTTTACTTTCTGTTATGCAGGAAAGAGGGAATTGTTTGCACTTTAAGCAGTGCTAATCCCTGTTTATTAATATTTACTGTAAATATACTATTAAAACCACCACAGGGTGAGCTGAACTTCACACTGCTGTTAGTCTCGGTGTTAGTTTCAGGAGTTACATAAATGACAGGATCCGGTCTGACTGGTGGCGTCAAACCATCAACAAGCTCGTTTTTTCACCTCCCAGTTTTCGCTGTGCTGCAGAGATCCCTGCCAATGAAAGTGAGTCAAAGTCCCGCGCAGTGCGAGGATTTTAATCTAAATACCAATGGCTCAAAAGAAAAGGAAACTCTTCTGTTTGCGGTTTAATTCACCATCTTTTTACCTTTTTTGTTCTGTAAGTGATTATACTTTAATTTGTGCACCTTTTTTTGGAAAAGATGAAACTATACAAGTAACTGGTTTAAAATTCTGTCTTGTAGCTTTAGCTAACCGTGAATCCACATTTACATATTTCTGCTGTAAAATGTCCCAACGCAGCTGAATACACCCGCCGTTAACAAGCTTTATGCAGTTTTATAGAAACTTCCTGCGAAAATGCAATGTGAATGCGTATTGCTGAAGAACTTGCTGAAAAGCAGCTGAAATTAGCTAAAAACGTGCTGAACCGTAGCTGAAAAGGAAGAACAAGCCTAAGTTAGCATAAGAAGCATAAAGAACACATATTTGCTGAATTAGGTTTAAATAAACAGCAATGAGCACAAAAATGTGTAAATTAGCTTTAAAAAAAAAGGCTGACATTAGCAAAAGATAGCTGAAACGTAGCTGAAAAGGCAGGAAGAGGCTTAAACTACCAGAAGGAAGTGGAAGGATCTGAAATGAGCTGAAAGAATGTGGACTTAGCTGAAAATGCTAAATTTAGCACAAAAACAGCTAAATAGTAGCTGAAATAGTTGACGAAGCTGTAACTAGCTGAAATAAACTGAAAGTAACGGAACAAGCTGAAATTAGCAAAAAGGAGATGATTCGTCTGAAAGTAGTAGGAATTACCATTAAAAACTTGAACTTTTCTGAAAACGGCTAAAGTTAGCTAGAAAATGCTAAGACAGTAGCTGACAAGGTAGAATTAAAATGGTAGAAGAAAGCATAAAGAAGACAGGTTTGCCAAGTTAGGCTGAAAAAAGCAGACATGAGTACAAAAAGTGGAAATTATCTAAAAAAAAAAAAAAGCAGAAATTTGCAAAAAAAAACGGCTGAATAGTTGTTTAAAAAAAGGCAGAAAGAAGCTCCAGTTACCATAAGTGGAGAGAGTACAATTGTGCTCAATTAGGCTTAAAGAAATATGTAAAATTTTACACTATACAACACAACTAGACGGAGCGAAAACCTCTTAACAGTTGTGTTTGCTAAAATGGCTAACTGTTAGCTTTAGAGTTACATGTTCGCTACATTAAAAATAAATGAGCAAAAGTTGCAATTTTACACGAATTATGAATAAATGTGTAACATTTTACACAATTCAGCACAGCTAAACTCTGGACAAAAATGTTTAACAATGTTTGCTTTAATAAATTAATGTTGTGTTTGCTAAAACGGCCAACTGTTAGCTTTATGGGTAAAATGCGTTTGCTTAATGAGAGGTAAGTTTAGCTAATTGAGAAGACTTCAGCACAATATAAAAACAGTTTTAACCAAATTATGAAATCATTTGACAATATTTCAAACTTTTTGGTACAGCTAAACACTGAACAGAAACCTCCTAAATGGTTTAATTAAATAATTTTTGTTTTTGCTAATAGAGCTAACTGTTAGCTTCAGGGCTAAAACATTTTGGCTAAATGTGAGGTAACAATTTAGCTAACTCAAAATAGTTTATCAAGAGATAAATAGTTTTATTCAATTTTTAGATAAATCAAGTACTATAATATAATATAAGGAAAAGCCAAATAATGAGCAGAAACTTTTCTGTTATTTCTTTTTTGTTGGTTTGTTTTTAGCAAAACAGCTAACTTAGCGTTGGGGCTAAATGCTTATCCGTTTAGCTAGGTCAAAATAGCAAACGGCAAAGACAATTTTTTTTCCAAATTATGCATGAATTTTGTAATTTTTTAATGATTAGGTACAGCTAAATGTTGAAATGAAGCCTTAACTTGTGTTTAAAATAAAATTGTTTGGTGTTCGTTAAAGCAATTGTTTAGGGCTCAACCGTTTTTGGTTTAATGTTAGTCTGTTTTTAGTACAATGTTCCAACGTTTTCATCCGAACATCATTGTTACAGCACACTAAGCTTTATTAAGACGGGTTTTCTTTTTGTTTGGTCTCCATGGCAACCTTACAAAGCTAGACTGAGGGGTGAAGTTGCTCCTGAAGTCTTTACTGATATAACACTCTTCCCTCATTTTTATAGCCTCGTTTTATCAAGTTTACAGCGGTCAAGTGAGGTTCTGTGTAATTGTTATGACAGTATCTTACCTGTCGTAGATAGCTCTTTGAACGACCTCAGGTTGGAGAAACGAAAACCGTGTTTAAGAAATTTCTTCCCAACATCGTGGTTCTTGTTAAGGAGAGTGGACAGCCCATTGTTTCAATTTTTTAAACACTACCGTACTTGCCGCCATATAAGTCGCATCAATCCAAAAATGTCTAATAAAGTGGAAAAAAATATAAATAAGTTGCTTCACCATATAAGTCGCATCTACTATGCATCACCGATGCATACACGTCTGACTGAATGATGGACAACATTTAGATGATTTGGCTGAAAAATTGTAAATAACTCCCATTTGTCTATAACTCTGACATAAACGTATTTATTTTAGTTTTTCTGTATTTACACAATCATGGACTGCAGCTGCCACAATATGACAAAAGTTTTAATTGATACCTACGTATTACTCAAAATTAGTACGCAATAGTCATAACTTGTGACTAATACATGGCACAGTTTTTCATAACTAGTTTCATGTTTAGACTCGACAACAAAAGTTTTACACGTAGTTTCACTTCACATTGTTGTAGTAATTGCTTACGTGACGCAGTTGGGTCAGAGTAAGAGGCTTTTAGGTCATTATAGACATTTTCAACAAATCTAAAAATCACAATAATGAGTGAAAGACGGTCACATTAGCCTGCCAGCTTGGCCCAGACTGTATTCTGGTCTTTTTCTACCAATGTCGTGTACTGCTTCTGTACTTTTACTGGCCCATGTGACAAGTTTGTAGGACACTAGATATTAAATATAAAATTACAGTTAAATAAAACTTCCCTGACTTGCTATTAGGCCCACTATAAAGTAACTGCACAATTTGAACAGTTCCGTAGTAAACTCTGACCTGCTTGACAAGCTAATGGCTAGTCTGAGGTGGGCCAACGCTGGAGTGGAGAGCTGCCTTCTTAAAACAACTCCAATCTTAAAATTTTCACAGCTGTTTGTGTGAATGCTGATTCATATTCAAACCTCCACATTCATGACAAATTTGCATTGTATGGTTGTGCGAATGCTTATGAAGCATTGAAGCTTATCACTTATGAGGTATATCAAAACGTTCAGCTGTTTCAGGACAATCCTGCTATGACTTTTGGTATTGTTGCAACTTTAGCTTTTTGAAATATTTAGCCTTTTTTGCCACTTTTTTTTTTTTTGATTGTGGAAAATGAATTTAGCTCATTTTACATCCTTCAAATCTTTAGATGTGTTTACAAACTTTTGCTGCTCCTTTCACATTTTGTTCTGGTTCAGTTTCTTTCAGCTTCCTTGTGCAAATTTTAACTTTTTTTTTCACCTACTTTCAGCTAATTTCAGCTGTTTTATGCTCCTTTCAGCTTTATTCTGCTAACTGCAACATTTTTGTGCTTTTTCTAACGTGTTTCTGCTAATTTCAGCTTGTTATGCTCCTTTCAGTTTATTTCTGCTAGTTTCAGTTGTTCTGCTATTTCAGCTACTATTTAGCTGTTTTATGATAATTTTAGCTTCCACATTTTTTGCATTCATTTCAACTTTTGTCAGTCTTATTCAGCAAAAATCTGCACTCTATACTTCTGAAAATTTAAGGTTCTTTCTGCCTTTTCAGCTTTTTTAATTTTTTGCTAATTTCAGCTTTTTTCAGATAATTTCCACTTTTTTGTGCTCATTTCAGCTTCTTTCAGCCTAATTGCGCAAACGGGTTATTTCTGCTTTCTTCTGCTAATTTAAGCTTGTTCTACCTTTTCAGCTACCTTTTTAGCATTTTAAGCTAATTTCAGCTGTTTTCAGCTAAATTCAATTTTTTTTACGGTCATTTCTGCTATTTTCAACCTAATTAACTTGTTTCTGCTAATTTCAGCTTGTTATGCTCCCTTTGACATTTTTCTGCTAGTTTAAGCTTTTTCAGCTAGTATTTAGCTGTTATGTTCATTTTAGCCTTTTCAGCTAATTCCACATTTTTAGCTAATTTCAGTGCTTTCTGCTTCTTTCTGGTTGTTTAAGCTATTTTCTTACCTTTTCAGCTACTTTTCAGCTGTTTTTTTTTTCTAATTTCAGCCTTTTTAGCCAATTGCCCAATTTTTGTGCTCATTTCTGCTTATTTTAACCTAATTCAGCAAATCTGTGTTATTTCTGCTTTCTTCTGTTAATTTAGGCCTGTTCAATTTCAGCTACATTTCATCAAGTTTTTAACTACTAGTAATTTCAGCTATTTTTCTGCAAATTCTTCAGCAATAAGCATTCACACTGCATTTTCACAGGAAATGCAATTTCTCTAGTTTAACTAGAATTCTATGGCCCGTTGCAGTTTTAATAGCAACTATGGTAGCTCTATGCTGTATGTGTATATGCTGTAGCACTTCCAGGGCTACACTTTATTGCTGGAGTAACTGTGTAATGTAAACTGACTGATGGTTAATAAAATAGTGTTCACATTATTGGCTGTGGATATTTTTACAGTTCAGTTTTAAGTTAGCAGCCTCCATTTGGGCTAGCTATTAGCTCGGTTAAATCAAACCTTGTTTCCACAACCTGTAGTTGTTCAAATAGCTACCTACAACAAGTAGGATCATTTATACTCTTTCCATGGAACCTCACTTTAAGAGATCCAAACTCACCTCAAATGTCATTTGAATGCTCAGTCTTTGTTCAGTTTATTGAGTAAAGGTGCACAGAACAGTCACAAAAATGTCCTAATGTTTTTAAAACCCCTTCATGCCTGCAGGCTTGTGGACTGGGTCATGCTGATGGACCAGGACACTCAGTGGCTGTACCAGCTCCTGGCTGAGGTCCAGTTGGAGAAGTTCTACATACGCATCCGAGATGGCCTCAACATTACCCGCATTGATCACTTCCATTACGTCAAGGAGTCGGACCTGGAGCAGATAGGAATCAGCAAGCCTGGTGAGCCTTGGAATCATACTGGGTGGAAATCTGTACGAACAGCAGTCAGGAAATTTTTACTCAAAACTTCATCTCAGAAATGGAGGACTTGGAAAGGTTCTGGTCACTAAAGCATCATCTTCTTGAAAACCTAAGTAGTGTTTGTCTTTCAAAGACCACAATCAATATAAGACTCACATTATTGACTAAAGTGTTTGACTAAAGAGGCCTCTTTTTTTCAGGTTTCATCTTACTGGTTTTGGTCAGCACAGACTGATCAGTGTGAAAGGCTAAAAACACAACAGCAATGCTTACACCAAGTTAACATGTTTATAAACTCCTTTTCATTTGCATTTTCATTCTTTCCGTCATAAGAACCTGTTACATTTTGAGTTTTTCGTTTTAAATCAATCATCTAGCAAAGTAAAGTCAGATCCTCTGGATGGATTCTTCTTGTTGAAACGTTTCATCTTTTATCAAAAAAGACTTTGTCAGTCTGAGGAGCTGCAAGCAGACCTCTTTTTTTGACCTCTGATCTGCAGATGAGTGTAGACCACAGACTCTTGGCCTGATGATGTTGCTATTCTGTGCTGGGCCATCCTTTTGGTCAGTGGCTGTTTAATTTCCCCAATTTAGTCATTAGTCACCTTCTCATAGAGGATCAACCAGTTTGTTGTTGACATCCGGAACTAGCTGTTCACATGTAAAAGGAGGACCAATTGGTCGTTAATGCCTCGATGGCTGCTTGCTATTCACAGAGGGCTGAGTAATACTAGCAATAACAGCACTGTAAGAGGAGGACAGTCGAATATGGCAGCCTCGCCTGTTTAATGATGGACAGTTTCTTTTCACAAAGATGGCCTCCTTTACTCCTCTCTCAAACCATTGTTCCTCTCTATCCAGGATGTGCACATCTTCATCCCTGAAAGAGTGACCGCTGGCCTGGAGATGAGTGTAGACCGCAGAGTCTTGGCCTGATGATGTTGCTCTTCTGTGCTGGGCCATCCTTTTGGCCAGTGGCTGTTTAGTTTCCTCGATTTAGTCATTAGTCGCTTAAACTTTACCAAAATCATTCAGGTCTTCCAAACTGAAAAGATAAATTTGTGTTTTGTCATCACAAAACAGACAACCAATAAAACATTTTTAAATTGCATCACTTCTAGCTAGCTAGCTAAAGTATCAGCTAACTAAAGTGCAAATTAGTCAGCCAATATCTTTGCTACTAGCTAACTCATACCCTTGCTACTAGCTAACTTATTTATTTGCTACTAGCTAACTCATATCTTTGCTACTAGCTAACTCATATCTTTGCTACTAGCTAACTTATATCTTTGCTACTAGCTAACTTATATATTTGCTACTAGCTAACATATATTTGCTACTAGCTAACTGAGGTCAGCAGACCAGATGCTTCTCTCAGTCCCAGAAACCCGTCGTAAGCTCAGGGGTGACAGGGCTTTCTCTGTTGCAGGTCCACGACTGTGGAATGAGTTGCCACTGAATGTCCGGCAGGCTCCCACACTCTCAGTCTTTAAGTCTCGCTTGAAGACCCACTTCTATTCGCTTGCCTTTAACACGGTGTGATTTGTTTTGGCCCGGTCTGTTCTCTACTCTGTTGGCCATTTTAGTTAGCTTCTGCTGCTATTTGTATCTGTATTTCTATTTTATGTTTTCCTGTCTGCTGTGCATGTTTGTGTTCTTTTGTACAGCACTTTGGTTGGCCTTGTTGCTGTTTTAAGTGCTATATAAATAAATTGGTATGGTATGGTATGGTATATATTTGCTACTAGCTAACTCATATCTTTGCTACTAGCTAACTTATATATTTGCTACTAGCTAACTCATATCTTTGCTACTAGCTAACTCATACCTTTGCTACTAGCTAACTTATATATTTGCTACTAGCTAACTTATATATTTGCTACTAGCTAACTCATATCTTTACTACTACCTAGTTCACACCTTTGCTACTCGCTAACTTGTACTTTTTTCATTAATTCGTTCAAACTTTATTTAGACAGGTAAATCCCGTTGAGGACTCATTTACAAGAGAGACCTGATTTCAACAACAATGGACAACAGCGACAACAATAGACAGTTATAAAAAGGAATACAGATTTTATTTTTTTTACAAATAAGATGGCAAAGAGTAACAAAACAGCTAGATTATAAGGCAAATGTAGAAAACTTTGTTAGTAGCTAACTAATTTCGTCACTAATAGCTAAAAGCATTTCTTCACTAATAGCATTTCTTTGCTACTAACGTCTCAGAGACACAACTTGTTCCTATTTTTATAACTAAATTCACAAATAATATCATAGATAAGGATTGTGATGGACATGAATTAATGTTTCAGCATCAACAAGGTAAAGAGGTGAAAACAATATAGAAGATGATGACTCCCTTTTTGAAAAACACAACTTTCAGATTCTGTTAATCTGCGACTACAACCAGTTTTGTTTTTTTTTCAGCCTGACACTTCTGTTTCACTTGTCCATTTTTTAAATATTTTTAAGTAACAAACTTCAAAGTGCATACTGTCATGGTTAGTATGGAACACCAAAATGCTCAAAATTAAATAAATAAAGCATTATGAAATGCGTATCTACGCTCATTATTATGAAAATGTTTCATTTTTATTCTTTTATTTCATAATTGTGTTTTCCATGATGGCTTATTTATTTCATAATGACTCTTCAGCAGAATGACTTCAGCTGTCAATCAACGTCAGTGGGCTGGACCTGCACATCCATCCGTTTTCCTGCTCACTGGTACAGCTAGCATAGCAGCTAATAGCGACTTGCTAGGTTAGCAGTCATGAAGGAG